CCCCCACCCCTGGACACCCCCTCACTCCCTTCTCCACCCAACAGCGGTAACTTCCTTGCAACTTTTTGCTGGCTTGCCCACTGACTTGGTTGTGGGAAATCAGCAGGAAATTGCCTCGCCTAACGACTTTGGGATTCGATTAAGGATGGCAACAGGGACTGCAGGGATTGCCGTTGCTTAGGCGATGCAGTCTTGCTTTACGACCACATCACTTAGCAACAGAAATTCCAGTCCCAGTTGCTGTTGTACTAGCTGTATTTTCCCCATTGAGCCTGCAATATCTCAATGAGCCACAAGGGGGAGACCCTCCTATATAAAAAGAAAACCTGATGCAGAATTTCATTCTTGGCTGGTGATGTTATGTATGGATTTGTGCCATATCTGAAATGTCGGTTTTCTTTTCTGTAGGATTATACCTTAATCTTATCTACAACTTTTAGTACTGAGTTAATGAATTGCTTACTGTTTGTAGTTTGGGCAGTGATTAGTCCTAGGTTAACCAAGTACACTCAATTTAACATCCAGCAGCGATAATTATCTCTTATCTCATTTCCTGTTTTGTTGCATGTCCTTCATTTTCCTTATATTCTTTCAAAACATTAAATAAAATTTTAAAGAAGAATAAAAGTAAAAAAGTAAAGGCTTTGTCAGGTCAGTTCAATCACTGTGGTCCTCTAATGGTCAGTGGGAGGGAGAGCCGCAGACCGGACAACCGTCCTGCAAAGGGTAGCTTAGCCCGCAGAAGGAAAAGGGGCGTGGGAAGCATCGCAGGAGGGACCCTCCCTAGTTTTCTGGAGAGTAAAAGGAAAGGAGGGGAGAAATGCTTTCAGGCTTGTAAGATTCTGCTAGTGCAACCTTAAAATAAAGGCAGTGTTAGTTCCCACGGTTGGTGCTTCTTGGCTGGATTACTTTGAAGGGTTGACAGTGCTTCCTTGTCAGGGATATTTCTGATAAGGTCCATTGACTAATCAATACAAGTGAATGACAGTGATATGAGCCTGGTTTGCCCCTCCAGCCCTGGGATTTCTCAGTAATCTCCTCTCCAAGGACTCATGAACTTCAGCCCTGCTCAGCTTCTTTGGAACCATACAGGTTTGTGAGGGCTGCCCTCTGCTTCGACGCGTAAAGTACGAGCGCACCTCTCTTCCTGGGCTGAAGGCCAAGCACTGGCTTTTGAGAGTGTGCCAGGCCCAGAAGTCATAAATAGAGCAGGACCCAAGCTCATTGTTCTTTCTTTTCATTTACGTTTAAATCCGGTCGAAATTCATTACAGTTTATATCACGGCTTTCCTGTCATGAGTTTAATATTTTTCTCCTTCCTCTGTCCCGTGAAAAATTGCCATTTGGTAACAAGGCTGAAGATCGCTTGGAGTGGCAAACATGGTTTCTTTGGCTTGGAAGAGGCAAATCTTCCTGCGCCGATCTTTTCCTCGCCCCCCACCCTCCCCTCTGCCTTGTAGCCACGCTTGTTCACACTGCTCTTCCTTCTTCATCTCAAAGCAAAATGGACAAGCCCCCGTATGGAGGAGGACGGAAGCGGGTTGCAACCCCTTGCCGGCAGGGGAAGAAAGGAAGGTACAGTAAATCAGTGTTTCTTAATCTCAGCAACTTTAAGAAGTGTGGACTTCAACTCCCAGGATTCCCCCACCAGCATGCTGGTGGGAGGAATGCTGGGAGTTGAAGTCCACCCATCTTAAGGTTGCTGAGATTGGGAAACGCTGAATTAGATCATGCTTGACAATAGGAAGAGAAGCATCTTTTCCTGGATCCCTGTACCACTTGCTGAGAGTTTCTGAGAGATGCTGATACCAGCTTATGATACCAGGGTTAGAACAGGCTAGGTTCATTCCCTAAGATGGTTCTGTTTCCCTCCTCCATCTGATTGCATGTTTTATATTTGTCTATTTCCATGGTTCTTAAAGTGTGGTCCTAGGACCCCTGGGGATCCCCCAAGACCCCCTCTTGGGTCCTTGAAACCAAAATTATTTGCCGGCCGATGTTGCAAAACAATACAATATTAAAAGCCCATCAACCAATCGTGAGAAGCAACAGTGGCAGCCAGTGCATCGATTTTAATTTTTGATATAGTAAATGTCAATCAATATAACCCATACGAACAAAACCTCTTTTGGGGTCCTCCATAATTTTTAAAAGTGGGAAGGGGTCCTGAGAGCAAAAAGTTTAAGAAACATGGGCCTGTTTTAAGAAAAGCAAACAAGCATGTTGCAAAGAAAAAAAAAATCTTCAAAAGAAACTGCATTTCCAGCAATCGTAGCAAGACTATAACTGAATTCCAAAATCTGGACATCCCACTAGATGGCAGCAGTATGTCTGTTTGCTGCCATCAGGTGGCCATTTGAACGTTTCGGACCCAGATGTTGCAACTGTGTTGTGTAGAAATGTGCCTACCTAGGAAAAAAAGGTAGAAAGCATTTGGGGAATGCTAGAAGGAGTGGTAGACACAAACCTGCGTGGAAGCTGTTTGGGGTGTAAGAAAGCGGTTGTGCAATTCACAATTGTTTGGGGCTCGAATGAGGTTTGTGGCCAGGCTGGGCATTATGTTAATCGCACAGCCCTTTGCAAAAGCATCACTGGATGGTAGGACTGTAATAGAACAGTGTTTTTCAACCTTGGCAACTTTAAGGTGGGTGGACTTCAACTCCCAGAATTCCCCACCCACCTTAAAGTTGCCAAGGTTGAAAAACACTGTAAGAGAAGGTTCCCATCAGCTTATACTGGTCTTGCAGAAATGCTGGTCACTTTAGCTGGACCAGATAGATCAGAACAGCAATTTTGTGCCTGGATTTCTCAAGGGCTCCACGCGAACAGCCGAGGTGAGCAAAAGCCGGAGGCCGAAGTGTATTCATCTGGGCAGGAAGCCAGATGTAACAATGCAAACCCAAGGGCTGTGCCCTGGCTCAGATTTCAGGCATAGAGAAAGAGAAAGAGAGAGATGCTGGAAATTCCCTCCTACAACAACAAAATGGTATGTCTTGTGACAGTCATACACACATCCACAGAAACTTCAGCGGTGATTAATGTTTAACTCACGAGGGTGCTGTATAAAACGGCTGCCTTCCTATCAGTTAGTAGCAGAGTCCTTGATGGTGCTCGCCCCACCTGGAGAACTACTTCTTCAGCCTGGTTTAAAGGAAGGGAGAAGCAGGTGACCAACAGCCAGCCCCCCAGGCCACCCCCCGGTCAGCAATGGGAGCGTGCCTTTGCCCCTCGGAGGGTAAGGAGAACGTTCAAGGTAGCTTTCTGAATAAAAGGTTGGGTTGAAAGGCTGGTTTCAGCACAGCTTGAAAGGGGAGGACTCACACAAAAGTGTTTCTGGGCATGCACTGAGCGCCTTTACCCTGAGCACTTAGAGATCTGTGGTCAGCCCTCTTGCAACAACGCGCTATAAATATTTGACTCTGGGCATTGGTAGCAACTGGGTTTCGATGTCTCTCTAAAGCGTGAAGGGCAAATGCAACAGAGGAAAAGTATTGGGTGCTGGGTGCTACCCTGGAGGGCTGATGTGGAACCTCCACATTCAGGGATAGCCTGTCGGAATCCTAGGAGCTGATGAATGGGCGAGCGGAGTAGGCTTGATTGTGGAGCTTTTCAGAAGCAATCTGCCAGATTTGGTGATCTTGACACAGCTCAATGAAGTAAGAATCTGTTTTTTGGTGAAGCTGGAATCTGTGCATCTCCAGATGTTGATGAATGACCATCTCTATTGTTCTTGGCAGCTAGCCATACTGGTGTTGGGAGTCCAACAACATCTGGAGCGCTGGAGCTCTTCCACCCTGTATGAAGGATCTGATAATTGACAGGGTGAGAGATCAGCATCTCTATCTCCACACCAGGGAAAGAGAGAGAAAGGAGGGCAGTGGCTTCTGGGCCTCCTGGATGCATCTCCCTGGCTTTGGTCATGATCCAGCATTGTCCTGGAGTGCTTTTCTGACCCAAAACTCTTATCCAATGTTACAAGGAGGGTATCTGGGCAGGGGGGCGAATAGAAATTTTGGTATAGAGGACCTTTCTATACAAGGTGCCTCCAAACAAGGGGGACTGCAGCTTCCACAATTCCCCACTTGGGTGGTGAAGGTTGCAGTCAAGCCATGCTTTCTGTGTTTATAAATCCCCATGGAGTTTTCTTCATTCAATAATGAATGCAGGGTTGCTCCTTTACTCTCCTCCCCTTCTCTTTTTGGTATGCATTGCTTGGAAGGTTTGAAATAAAGCCAGGATTAAAGGTTTAAGTCAGTGTCCTTGGGGTCTGATGCAGTGGCTAAGAGGGGACACTTTTTGCTGGGAAACTTCTGGTTTAGCTGAATCCATGTTCATCATTTAGATTATATCCTGCCTTTTCTCCAGCAGTTCAAAATGGTTTATATGGGGGGGGGGGAGTGTCTTGATTTTTTCAGCACAATCGCTGAAAAGGAAGGACTCAGAGACAGTGACTGGTCCAGAGTCCACCAGGAGATGTTCATGGCTGAGGCTGGACTAAGCACCTGGTCTTGCTGGTTGCAACAGTCCATTCCTTGAGGACTACATCGATCTGGCATCCTTACTAGATATGGGCAGGGTGGCCTGATTGTGGGACTTAGTGTAGAGAGGACTTCCCTGCTGACATGTTCTCCAGAACTATGAACCAATGCCCGAGATCCCCAGCAAGCACCGCATTGCTTTCCAACACAGAGTTAGGGCTCTAGGCTGGGGTATTCACCCATCCTGGGATCTGGGCACTAGAAGAATAAAACACGCATGCAATGAAGTTACGTAGCAATAAAAATGCCCATCAACTACAGAGTTAGGGCTCTAGGCTGGGGTATTCACCCATCCTGGGATCTGGGCACTAGAAGAATAAAACACGCATGCAATGAAGTTACGTAGCAATAAAAATGCCCATCAACTTCTCAAATGATATCCAGAGGGCAGGTGGCCGAAGGGATAAAGGTGGCTTCTTGGTCTAATCATTAGATACATAATGTTGCTTAGGCTGAGCAGTGGGAACTTGGCCTCTCAGGCAGTGTTTTTCAGACTGGGCATCTGACTGGAGAATTCTGGGAGTTGAAGTCCACACATCTTCAAGTTGCCCAGTTTGAAAAACACAGCTAGAAGGCATTCCCTCCAGATGTGTTGTATGGTTAAAGTCCTGTAAGTCCCAGATGCCGTCTGGGAAAAACAGGAGGTTCAGCCCATTACACGTGGAGAGAACTAAAGAGGGAAGATTGTCATTGCAGTTCCTCAAAAATTCTGCAAAATGTCATGGGTGAGGAGAGAATGGCCAATCATAAGTGATGCTGTGACAAGAATCAGATGATGGATCTTGTTTCTAAGGAGAAACAGCCAAGGGGACACAATCACATGAGATTTTGAGGCTAAGAGAACCAGTTCCCACAACACCCTGAACCACAAACTACTCTACAGTTAGCCTCGTTTTGCGAGGTGTGCGAAAGCAGCCGTTGAATTTTGGCAGCTGAGTGTGCATGCTTCAACGGCTCAATGAGGACTAGGCGCTAGTTAAAGTAAGGATGCTGAAGCTATCTGCAGTGGGCCCATCGCTGTCTTTCAGAATATGGCTGTGCGCTAGGCTAGTTAAAGAGCCACTAACGTGCTCTGAACAGAACAACTTTGCTAACGCGTGTGGGATTTTGAGAACTTTTCAGGGCATCTCAGTGGGGAAAGGAGGTCTTGGTTTCTCAAGAGATAGGACTTGCAGACTTTACAGAAATGGCCTCCTGGTTGAACAAGCCCATTGCTCGGGTCTAAGCAGAAGGTATGCTGCTTGGAGCCCTAGCTATTGGGTGCTGATCTGCCCATTGGGCATCGTTTAGCTTCAAGACTTTGGAGAAGGGGCTAAGGAAGACTAGGGATACCCAGGTCCAAAACCCCCGTTGTTCTTTGTGTGAGTTTGGGCTGGTCCCACACCATGAACCTCAACCCACACATACACGCCACTGAGAGAAAAGCATTCCTGAAAGGAATGTACAGTATTCATTCCTGCTAATGGGATAACTCTAACATGCAAGCTGGTCTATGCCCAGGATTTTTGGCCCCAAGAAAGGGTTCAAACGTGTACCCCCTAACCTTGGCTTGAAAAAACATCTTTAGCATATGCCTGTTTGCTGGAAAATTAGCCTCTCCTTGCACTGGCTCCGTTAGCTTAATGCCTCTGACTGAATGAAAGTGAAAGTAACTCGAATAACTGTCTCTAAACACACTTGGGTTTTTATTTCCTTCCAGACCAAGACGGTTTTTAAAATTAATGTTGAGTTTTGCAAGCCCACACAAGGCATGTTTTGTGTCTTGTAGTTCGTTTTCTTTTTGCTTGCTTGGTTTTTTATCCCCACACAAGGCTTATCTTTTTTTCCCCGCATGTACTGACTTGAAACCTTTATCTGCTTTAGTAGCTTTTCCCTTATCTGCAACAGTAAACTCATATAAAGCTGGCAGAAGATCTGAAAAGAAAGCGGTCGGACAGTTAGAGAGCATTTGACATCTGTAGAGCAGGGCTTCCGGCCTCCACCAACCCAACCTGTTTTGCTCTCCCAGGGAACTGAGCACCTTGAGAAGGTGCTGAGTGCTCCAGGTTCAAAAGGTTCCCAATTCCTAGTTAGTGCCCTGGAAAATCAAGTATGTATTTGTAAGCTCTGCTCTCAGTGGATGCTGTTAGTAAGGGCATCTCTCTGCTTGTTAAGAGCTCTGATGTCCCCCAACATAGTTAAGGAGAACCCGTTGTGCCATGATTCATGATCAGGGTAATAAAAGTGCACCTCCCAGTATTAGACACAGCTTTCAGCATCCTGAGGATCACAGCTGTTGATTATGGATCATTCTTGGGTGTCTTGGGGCCCATCCCTTTCTTTTAACCCAACCTACTTCACAGTAGGGGTGTCCACAGGGTGTGGCCAAAAAGTCAAGACAGCAGCTGCAATGGTGTGATGGAAGTTCATCTGTTTTTTATGTGTGACACACATAAAAAGAAGTGGGGTTTTGACTGTGTGGTTGCACATCCATCTTGGCTTTTCTGACTCACCCCTGAGGATACGCTTGAAGAGTAATATTTCTCTTTATTGAGGTAAATGGATCCCATTGAGGTCTTTAGTGAATCTACTCTCTCTTCTTTCTATGATATTAATGGTGATTCATGTCTCCATAGGATCAGACGGCTCTCTCCAAGCTTCCTGCACTCCTCTATTCTTCCATCCTTACATCAAAGGATCCCAAGTTATTATGGATAATTCTTGCTGTATAGTAAGTAGAATAGCCACGTTCCATGATGGTATCGTCTTCTCCAACCGGCCCATAGAGCTTTACGAGAAAGTGACTGTGAAAATCTTACAAGAAGACCAGAAGTGGCAAGGTGGTCTACGGGTGGGCTTCACCTGGAAAGACCCCTGTCTTCAGTCTCGTGAATTGCCTCCATTTGTGTGCCCAGACTTGGTTAAACAAGGGAAGACTTCTGCATGTGTTTTACCAGATGAATATATAGCAGAAGATACCATTGTCAGCTTCTGGGTGGACAGCCAGGGCTGCGTTTTCTGCAGTATCAACCTGGAGGCAGAAGGGTTCTTCCTCTTCAATGGTGTCTCAGTTGAATCTCCTGTTTGGGCTGTTGTGGACGTTTATGGGAGAACCAAAGCAGTCCAACTTCTTGGTAAGCAACTGCAGGCTAGACAATTTGCTTTGGATGGCTTTTTAGATCATAGGAGGGCCGGTGGAGTGAAGGACAGGGTTGTTCCTACTTGGTGAAGCCAGAGGGGTCATGGGAGAAACTAAATGCACAGAGAGGAAAAACTGAAGGATGCAATTAAATTTAATCCCAAACTGAAGACTGGGGAGGGCTCTGACCCATTTAGCATC